CATGACTGATTTCCATTTTCCCCTCGCTCTCTTTATCCCCTCAGGGCTAGCCCCCCCCCGCCCTCTTCTGTGCTGTCATAAAGCCACGATGAGGTCACATGACAACCCCCACTATTAAGCCCCCTTCTAAACAGCACCCAGTACATCCGGTGTGGGTCGGAATAGCTGCCCTTCTCCACAGCACGGGCTGCCTCCCTGGCGTCTCGATCTGAGGGGAAGACCACTGCAGGAGGAGCCTCTGAGGCAATCTTGACTCTGGCACTGCCAGGCCCCTGGCTCCACCTCCAGTTTTGGGGAGGGTATGGGAAGACTCTTGGACCCAGCGCCGTTGAACCCTTCTTGGGTCTGCCAAACTGCCAGGCCCCTGGCTCCACCTCCATGCTGAGTAATCCATTGGTGGGTGGCCAGGGTCTAGCCTCTCAGTAAAATCTCATTCAGATTAGTGAAACATTTCATTTAGTAGGACGTTAAGACCTACCAAAAACTTTTTGGCATATATTATGCCTAACCCAAAATCCTATCCCCTGCCCCTCTAAAGGGGCACATCTGTGTTCCCAAGAGCCTTTTAACATTTGCTCCCCAAAGAACCCACCAGGAAAGTGGATGGTATCATACCTTTCCCTCTGATGGATCCCTTTTTGTTCCTTTCCAGCAGCAGAAAAACAGGCAGCTACAGGTTGCCTCTCCAATCACCAGTGAATCTTGATTTTCTCTTCTCTGGATTCGGCCATTGAGGGGAGCCCTGAGCCTGGCGGTTGGAGACGAGGCCCCTCCTCACGACCGCTTTTGGTGAGGTGGAAAATCCCACAGAGCTTAGCTCCACCGATCAATTCCCCTATCTTTTCCCCAAGATGAAAATGGCTGCTACTGTATGAATTCATCAGTGTAAGAACGTGAAAACACCTGTTGGGCCTTTTGATTTCTTGACTGAAGACCCACCCCAGAAGTCTGGCTGGGGGGAGTTCCCACAGGCTTTTGGCGGCTGTTGTCCACAGGTTCCAAAACCCCGATGCCTGGTTATAACGTGCCAAGGTTTCTGTTCTGGCTACGAGAAGCTGGCCCTCAGCAGCCTACAGCAGGAATGCCACCCCCCCAATCCCCGAGCCCTGGCCCCACCCTCTCACATGGACTGCCCTCCACCTCCATTTCCTTTGCTGGTCAGCCACTGTAGGCGTTCGTTCCTGCTGTGGTCCCTCCGCGCGGCAGTGGCAGGCCGCCTCCTGTGCAGACGCTATGCTGGTCCAGGAGGTGCCACACTTGTTATTATCCGGAGAGGTGCCTGGATGGGCTCATGGAGCGCCACCTGCGCTGCCTCTGTCTCACAAAGATATGTGGGTGGCTTGGAGTGGATTGGTGTTTCTGCAGCGAGGGCCGGCAAGCGGCCACTGGGCCACTGGGAGCAAGAGGAGTGAAAAGTGTGCCCCTACCCGCCCGCTTTGAGGGAAAGCAAGAGCGGGGGGGGGAATTATCTGATGATCTTTCCAACCTGAGCTAAGTCCTTCCACTATTTCCCTGCCTATTTTTCTAAAAAAAATGTAGATTTTAGGCCAGAGCTCTTTCCGTTAGGTATAATACCAGAAAGTGTTGATAGACAAAATGTATATTTAATACTGCATATTCTAACAGCAGCGAGGATTATTTATGCACAGTACTGGAAAAATTAAGGAACACCTACGGATCAAGAAATAATTAAAAAGATATTGGACTGCGCCGAAATGGACAGACTTAACACTGAAAATCAAAGGAAAAGAAGATACACAATATTACCAAACATGGGACTTATTCTATCAATTGTTAGAAGGATGTTGTATAGATTAGGAGTATAATGTGTGTAGTAGTTGTTTTACAAATGATTATAAGCTGTACCCTGGTGACACGATGTTAAACCAATATGGATGGATTTATATAATAAAAAAAGTAAACAAAAAAAAAGAAAAATTTAGAATAATCCACCTGGCAGGTATCCTTTGATTTGTATTCCTGCATTGAGCAGGGGGTTGAATTCAATGGCCTTTTAGGCCCCTTGCGACTCAGTTATTTTCTGATTCTATTCTAACGCAAGCTTTGAGAGCAGTTTGGTCTTGAATGGGTTGTTAGAGACAGATCCAGCTGCTTGTAGTTTTGGACTTTCCCTATGGGGAAAGATGGCAATGGGGACTCTCACCATGAGCACCTGCAGTTCCACATTTGCCTCTATGCCACTGTGTAAGACGGTCACTCCTTCCCCTTGCTCCTATCACTCATCACTTGCGTAGAGGGTCCAGATGAAGCGACGCAGCCAGAGTGAGGAGGAAAAGCAGTACGAAGGGCAGGTGGTCATGGGATGGAATTTTAAGAAGCAGGTTTCCAGCTGAGGTGGGGTCATGACCAATTATCCAATGTCACCAAGCTTGACATAACTCTGTGCCACCCTTATTTGTTTGTCTGCCATTATCTGTGGCAGATCATGTCAATGGGCCCTGCTAGTGTTTAGTGTCATGGCATCAACTGTTTTGAATTTCGAAGTTCATAAAGTCTGCCTTGTCTTGACACCAAATGTTTAAAATGGACCCCTTCCTGAAAAAGTCCTGTCCTTTCCTCTCTTCTGGCTTTCCTGCTGCCCCCTTACAATTATCTGTTGCAGTTCTGATGGAAATAACGTCATCCGATCAAGGACTGAATAACAGAGCTGTAAGGAGAACACATACGTCTAGGTCAGATAATATTTGTGTAACGGAGGCAGAGGCAGATGTCTTTCCAGAGTCAAACATGGCAGCCAGCCTTCGGTGAGAAGAAAACCGACTTCCTGTAGAAGAGCTTTCAAAAAATACAGCTTATGTGCCTGTGTGCAGTGTTTGGTGTTTGTGGGAGGGGGACACCTAATGAATCCAAAATAAAAGGTGGAAAAATCTTTTTACCAAGCAAGAATTCAC